TGAGGATTCTCCCATCAGTGCTGTCTCTAACAGTTCTTTATTCGTTGCATTTTCAAAAGCCTGCTATTTCTAAAGTAGATGGCCAATCCATCTTTTAAGTCTGTCTTAATTTGGAAGCTCCTCTGAAACGTGTTCACCATGGGTGACACTGCTGATATTTTAAATACTGGTGGCAAAGCTTCCAGTATCACACAAGTTATTGTAGTACAGTAAACACACAGACAAATGCAGTTCCCTTAATTTGTTGATGTTGTTGTTATGTCTGGTCAAGTCACCTGCAACTCATAATACAGACCTAAACCTCTATCCTGTGCCAATCTTATTGTCTCTGACACACCTACCCCCATTATCCCAGTCACTAAACCAATACATCTCATTGAGGGTCTTCCTCTCTTGCCCTGTCCCTTCTCCCTCCCAAGCATGATGTCGCTCTCCAAGGACTGGTCCCACCTTGCAACAGGTCCAAAGTATGTCAGATGAAGCTTCAGAATCCTTGCATCAGAGGAGCAGCCTGGTCTCACCCTCTCTAGGATGAACTTGTTTGTTCTCCTATCAGTCCGTGGTATGTTCAATACTCTTCTCCAGCACCACAGCTCAAAGGCATTGTTTCTCCTATCATACTTAGTCATTGTCCATCTTTCTGATGTGTAGCAAGTAATTGCAAAAACTATGGCCTGGATCAGGCAACTCCAGACTGACATCGTTGCTCTTCCATACTTTGGAGAGGTCTCTGACAGCAGACTTTCCCAGTGCAGTCCTTCTTTTAATTTTCTGGTTGCTGGTACCAAAAGTGTTGATTGTGGAGCAGATGATAAACAAAGGTGCATATACATCCTGTTGTTGTTGTATACCGTCAAGTCAGAATTGACTCATAGCCGACACTCCAATAGGTTTTCAGAGGCAGTTAATCACACAAGAGGAGACTATTCATTCTTCTCCCACAAGCAGATGGTAGTTTTTTGTTGTTTCTTTTAATTTTTTTATTATTATTTTTTTTGTTGTGTGTGTGTACTGTCAAATCAGATCTGACTGGTACAGGAGGAGATTGTTCTGGTGGATTTGAACCACGCACCTCTGGGACTGCAGTGAGATGGTAGTTTTGTACCACATGTCTTTGGAGTTGCAGCACAGCTTCTTGTCACTAGGCCACCAGTGCTATAAAATAAGCAACAACATGAAAATTACTCCTCTAACTTGACAAACTAGCAAATAAGCACAGTATCCCTAAGAACTAACCCCAGAGACAAGCAAATGCTTAGCTATCATGGCGTGAGTGACATCTGGCTCCTGTCACAGCATAGCCCAGGGGCTGGTTGGCTATCATAGTGCATTCTATTTATAGCCTTGGTAATCTAGTGTGTAATGTGTCCAACTGCAAATTAAAACGTTGGTGGTTTGAATCCACCAGCTACTCCACCCGGTGAAAATAGTCTCCTCCCATAAAGATTTACAACCTCAGAAACCTGCTGGAAGGGCACTATGAATTGGACTTGACGGTAGTGGGATTTTTGGTATTGCTATAATATACAAACATTTTTCAATAATAGATTTTTTTTTTGCGGTTGGTCACCACCATACCAGTTTCTTATTCCCATGGCACTGATAGCTGGTGGTGCTCAGTGACACCACACATCAATAACAGATTTTTTTTTAATAATTTTTTTAATTTTAATTGTCATTTTGACAAAAGTTTACAGAAAAGTTAGGTTTTCATTCATTCATTGTTGCACATTTTATCCCCTCTCCCTCCCTTCCCCCTCCCCAATATGACTTTTTTTTTAAATTTATTTTTCATTTCAATGAACGTCTACAGAGATTTTTTTTATAAATTGGGAAAAACATATTGGGGGCACAAGGAGGTGAGGAGGGTTGGGGGCAGAAGGGTGAGGATGAGCCAGGATGCAGTTGCAGAGCTGCACAGTTTGGTTGGTGGGGGGAGCATATGAAGGAAATGATGAGGGTCCAGTGGGGACCAGATGCTACAGAGGAATGACAAGCATTTTCCAACAGTAATTAAACCAACTGTCTTATTGATTTGGGAAGTGGATGCTGACTCTCTGGCTTCTTCATGCTGAACAGGGGTGTAGATGTAAAGGGGGGAAGGGAGGACACTTTATCACCTTACTGGTGGTCTTGGGTTACAGCTGCTTGCCTTCTTGCTCTGTTAGAAGATATTTTCCTGTCATTTGCTCCCCTCTGGACTGCAAAGTGTTTTCCCAGGTGGGTCCAGTGGGGATGGCTGGATGAACCCAGAGGCTCCATCCTCCTTTGCTTCCTTAGCTGTCAGTTGTATTTCCTTTTTGTCACTGGCACTGGGTTCAGGGTCAATTCTGGAGTAAAACTCAGAGTTAAGGTTACCTATAGGAAAGGGAGCAAATCTAGAGAGAACCAACTTGTGAGTTACAAATGGAAGGGCTTTGAGGGTGTTGCTTTCAGGTTTACTGGGGGGGATGGTGGCAGAAGGTGGCCTAGGTAACATTCTCTGGATACCCTAGGAATTCCTTTTTTTTTTAACTTCTCCTTCCCCACCCAGGGGTCAGATGGCACAATCCGGGCACTGAGGAGCTCACCCTGAAGGACGCGACAGCTCGCCCCGAGCCGGGGGCTGAGGGCAGCCAGCCCCGGGCAGAGGGTTGCGACGGCTCGCCCCGGGCAGAGGGCCGAGGGCAGCCCACCCTGGGCAGAGGGCCGCGATGGCTCACCCCGAGCCGGGGGCCGAGGGCAGCCCATCCCGAGTAGAGCAACACCCCCCAGGAGCTGGCTGGAATACTCCCCCTCCAATTGCCCCTACCCCAGTCTGGTCCCCTCGCCTGACTGAGGACTCTGTGGTCAGGGATAGTGTTTCCAATTCCAGCACTGCCACTTTTAAGTGGTCATACTATATTTTAAAGTAGGTGTCACTGCCCTCCCTCCCCCTTTATATATGATAAAGGGAACCTGAGAATTGTGAACAGACTCCTCCCAGGTCTAACCATCTTTTGGCAGAAGCATTCAACAGAACAAAATATGTGGTGCATTTAGGATGTGTGTCCTGTTGTGCATGCTGCCACTGTTTAAGGTCATCAGACTCACAGTGACTTTCAGCAATCCATTACATAGGTAATCATCCTCTTTGGCCTGTCCAGTGCATAGGTAATTGTCCTCTTTGGCCTTTCCAATGCATAGGTAATTATCCTCTTTGGCCTTTCCAATGCATAGGTAATCATCTTCTTTGGCCTGTCCAAGAAAACCCAAACCTGCAGATGGCGGGCATCCCATCCCCCACCTCCTACGCAGGCGCCCCACCCCCAGTGCGGGAGGCCTGCGGGAGGTGCACAGCCCCGCCAGCGCGGGCATGCCTCCCCCCCCTACACGGGCGCTTGGCGGGTGCGCGGCCCCTCTTGTGTGGGGGGCTGGCTGCTGTGTGCTCAGTGCATTATAGCTTCCAATCACCAGGGTCATCGAGGGCGCCCGCTTCCCCCACAGCTGCCATCCTGGCTCCAAGAATTCTCTCCAGTACAAGACCACCTTGTGGCAGTGTGGTGGCTTCACTGTACCAGTCTTGAGGAGGGCCAGTGCCCAGCATCCATCCTGGGTGAGGGAATCCATTCGTTCAGGCTGTGGAAGCCTCATGGAGCTGTAGCTGCTGTCCAGCGCTGCATGGGCTCTGCAGGGGGTGGGGGGTTGGGAGCCACGAGACTCACCCATTTCTCCTTGGGAATCCTTGAATTCCTGTTGTTGAGCCTCAATCTTCACTGAGGGCCAGTCATCAACTGTTTAAGTGTTCAATTATCAGTAAGCCGAAGTCTGTGGAAGGCCATAATGGCCCTGCTTTAAGTGGTTCGCTGCTCCCGCAGCTCACCACGCTGTCTCTGCCCCTGCCGCCATCTTCACATCTACAGAGATTTAAAAAATATGGAACGCTTCACGAATTTGCATATCATCCTTGTGCAGGGGCCATGCTAATCTTCTCTGTATCGTTCCAATTTTACTATATGTGCTGCCGAAGTGAGCACAATAACAGATTTTTTAAGCAAAACAAACTTAGAAGAGAAAGCTTGCATTGAGAAGTACACACACAGAAACATCTATTAAACTCATATATAAGGACAACAGTAATACTAAGGAGAAATGCAGTCCTTAGCACAATCATATGAGATCAAAGGGCAGCATATACCTAAGGGAAAAGCTCCTACAGCAGAAAAAAAGGGCAAATGAAAATGAGAAACACAAGGTCGAGGTGGGAAGAGTGCTGTTACATTGTAGTGATTACAATCAATATCTCAAAACAAAATATGTGTGAATTATTGAATGGAAAAAAGATTTGCTCTGTAAACTTTCATTCAAATAACAACAAAACAGTTTAAAGTGAACCAAGATTATTGTCCTTAGAACCCTTTGAACCTGGAACTAAACTCATCCCTGGGATTCAAGTTTCAACCTAACAATTAAACTCTAACTACCAGCGAGTCAGAATTAACCCATAGCTTACACTCTGGAGGATTTTTTGAGACATGGGAGGAGACTATCCATCTTTTTTCCCCCTGCAGAGCCCCTGCTAAATGCAAACTGCCAGAGAGGCACAGACTTGGGTTACTAGGGCAGGCCCTAAAGTGCTCACTCACTGATGTGGACATAGGCTATTGTTTTTATGTTTGGCCAGTTTACCTGGATGTCCCCCAACACTATGATCCGAGACCAAACACTTCTTTTCTCAGGGTGTGTGGTTACTACTAAGAAGCTTGCAAAGCATAACCCCCACCCTGTTGGCTTTACTATATATAAAAGGATTCTGTAGGTCCTTTTAAAAAGCACTATTAAAAGAAATTGTTAAATAAAAATTAAAAACACCCCCTGTGATGTGCAGCTCTGCTCTGACACACAGAATTGGAATCAATTCCATGGTAACTGGGTAGGAGCCCCAGAGGAGGGGCCCGCTGCAAGGAGAGGGGAGCATGGGGACGACCAGGGGCAGCAGCATGGGTCCTCAAGGTTCTGAGGGGTCTATCTTGTCACCCCAGCTGGGAGCCCATCCTGGGCTACATCAATGAGCAATATGAGCGGTACCTGCAGGAGGAGATCCTCATTACCCGCCAGCGCCATATCCCTGACACACGGGTGCACTGCTGTGTGTACTTCGTGCCGCCCACTGGTCACTGGTGAGTAGCAGGGCCCAGGTGGGCTGAGAGGACAAAGAGAGGCAGGCTCCAATGTGGGCCGTGGGGCTGGCATCAGCTCTCATTCAGCCCTTCATCACCACCATCACTGTGGACAGCCTGCGGCCCCTCGACATTGAGTTCCTGCAGCGACTGTGCCAGGTAGTCAACGTGGTGCCTGTCATCGCCCGGGCAGACAGCCTGACCCTGGAGGAGCGAAACACCTTTAAGTGCAGGGTGAGCTGGGTGCTTGGGGCTGGGCTCAGCAACCAGAGGAGCCTCCTGTCTACCTATGTGTGTGTCCCTAGATCCAGCAAAATTTGAAGACCCACTGCATAGATGTGTACCCCCAGAAACGCTTCGATGAAGACCCCAATGATAAAATCCTCAACAGCAAGATTCGGGTATGGGTTGTGGTGTGGACGGGGGAAGGTCCAGTAGGGTGTTTTCTTTCTAAGCATCCTCTGCACTTGGAGTTACACCTTGCTCTACATCCTGGGGAGATGGCCACACATTTCTGGCAGGTATGAACCTCAACCCACAGGCTCCAGGTGAGTAAGATAGCTCCCTTCCACAGCCCACCGAGAGGGTCAGAATGTTTGCCAGTCCTATATTTACTAGGCGCCAGGGTAGCACAGCCCACAACATATTGGCTTGCTAGTCAGAAGACATGTGGTTCTAGACCTGGGAAGTCTCCTCTCCAAACATGTGTAGCTTTGGAAACCCAGTGAAGAGTAGCCATGACTGGAGATCAACCCGAGAACAGTGCTGTAGGTGACATAGCACAGTTCCAAGCAAAATCAAAAGGAAAAATTGACCTTTATGACAGTGTTATTCTCAATTGTGGTGATGCATTGAACTGGATGCCCCTTCTAAAACATAAGTAAAAAAAAAAAAGCCATAAGTCAACTGGGTGAGCCATGAATCTCAGCAGATTGACAGATATGCCATGATGTTGTCGGCAATTAGGTGACTATGTAATCATCCCCCATGATGTGCTGTGATGTCATCATCCACTTATGCATGATGCAACACCCTGACTCCTGTCAGCTGAGATGGAAGAGTTTCCTTGGAGTCTGGTCTGCAGCACTTCAGCCTACAAGAGATGACAGGAGAAGGTGACTAGCAGAGAGGAAGAATCTATTAGCTCTGTGGTAGTAGAGCCAGGAGGGAGGGTCCTTAGCTAAGAACTTCTCAGACACAAGCAATTGATGCCAGACACCAGGAGAGCTCAAGGAAGGCTGGACCCATGAATGTTAGAAGGAGACAAGGACTGTCCCTGAGTCAACAGACTTCCCTAGAACAAGTACCCAGGATTCATATGTCTAGCCTCTAAATGGAGACTACATTTCTGCTCCTTGCTTGTGCAATTTGTTTTATCAGCACCAGATAACTGAGGTGAGAGCCTAGTGAAAACAGCTCCAATGTCCATCAACTGCTGGGGAAACAAAACATAGTCTACTTTGCAATAACTTGTTATGCATCAGAGAGTTGGACAATGACTAGGGAGGATAGAAGGAGAAATGACGCCTTTGAGCTGTGGTGCTGGAGAAGAGTACTGAATGTTTCATGGACTGCCAAGAAAACAAACAGATCCATCCTAGAGAGGGTTAAACCAGGCTACTCCTTGGAGGCAAGGATTCTGGGGCTTCGTCTGACATACTTTGGACATGTACGGAGAGACAGGTCCTTGGAGAGGGACATCATGCTTGGGAGGGTGGAGGGACAGCACAGGAGGGGAAGACCCTCTATGAGGTGGATTGATTCAGTGACTGGGGTAATCAAGATGGGTGTGTCAGAGGCAATGCAATTGGCACAGGATAGAGCAGGGTTTAGGGCTGTTGTACATAGGGTCGCTATGAGTCGCAAATGACTCGACGGCACATAACACAACATCTGATTCAGTACTATTCACCCATAAAGGGTGTTGAAGCGCCACCATAAATACTACAGTACTACTGAACCTCAAAGTACTGTTAAGTGCAAGAAACCAGGCACCAAAGGCCACTTTTGTATGATCATAATCCAAAAAAGTATTCCCTGTAGTTTTCTTTTCCAGCTTGTCTTAATTAATGAAGAATATCTGCTCTGATGGTCAAGGTTTTGTGTCAATTTGGAAGCTATGATGTCATCCCTTGGTGAGATCTAAGGTTGTCTTCTCCGTCATGAGGTCTGCTGAGCAGTGATGCCCAGTGGAATGGAAGTCCTTTGGGGTGTGGCTCTCTCTGAATACATGCTGCATGGAATCTGACCAAGCTCTCTTGGATCCCACATCTGCCTCTTCATCTCCAGTTCTGTGTACCTCCAACACTGAGTTCATCATCTGCAGCAGCATCCTGACTTAGGAACACTCTCTACCCTCCCATTTGATCCTTGGAATTGGAATTCACCAGCCTCTGCAAGCTTGCATACCATTTCCTTAACATAAATCTCACCTTCTCTGTATGTCTCACTAGATTTGATTCTCTAGAAAACCCAGCCTGAGACATCTGCCTTCAGCATCATGCTCTTTTAAGAACAGTAACGGAATCAAACTGGCTAGAGCCTCTCAAAAGGCCAGACAGGAACCTTACAGGACAGTACTTTATGAAATTGGGGAAGGGAAACCTCGAGAAAGGAGCATGAGCATTGTCTTCCAGCTCAAATAATATGATCAACATCACTCAATTGTATATGGAGAGACACTGAGATGGTGTATCCTTTGCTGTATGCATTTTCAACAATTAAAAAATAACTCTCTTTACAAAGACAAATGGTGAGATTGGATTTGGCCCTTGGGCTTTTGTTATGTACTGTTTACTAAGTTCTTTTAACATTTATTTTAATCATTGAAGAAGATTCTAATATTTCTAAGTTATAACACTCCTGTTTCTAAAACAACTCTGCTATGCTTTAACAAGGCTAAACCCCAAAACCCCGCCATCATTGAGTTCCGTTACCTACAACTTTGCAGGACAGAGATCCATTTCCTACAGCCCTGGAGGACCAGCCACCTCCAAAGTGGAAGTAGCTGTCTCATTTTCTTCTGTGGAGTGGATTTGAACCTATAGTTATATGTGAGACAAGATTTCACCATCCTTGCCTCTAAGGAGCACCTGATTGTACTTCCTCCAAGACAGATTTATTCTTTCTTTTGACAGTCCTTGAGATGTTCTCTTCTTCAACACCACACCTCAAAGGCATTGAATCTTCTGTCATTGCCCAAATTACCTGGGTCAGGTGCACTTTAGACTTTAAACTGACATCCTCACTCTTTAGGACTTTGGAGAGATTCTTGATAACAATTTTTTCCAAAGCAACATGTCTTCTGATTTCTTGACTGCCTATTATCTGGAGGTTAATCGTGGATCCAAGTAAAATTAAATCACTGACAGGAGTTTTATCCTCCACCTATCATGATGTTCCTTATTAGTCCAGTGGTTTTCTTGATGTCGACATGTAATTCATATTGAAAGCTCTATGTGGTCTTTGATTTTCAGGAAGTGCTTCCTCTTTACTTTCTGTAAGTAAGGTTGTATCATATGCATAAAACAGGTTGCCGGTAATCCTGATGCCACATTCTTCTTCATATAGTCCAATTTCTTGAATTTTTTACTCAACATTCAGATTGAACAGGTATGGAGAAAGGATCTGATTTTCACCTTTCCTGATTTTAAACCGTGCAGTGTTCTCTTGTTCTGTTTGGACAACAATTTCTTGATTTATGGATAGGTTTTGCATTAGCACAATTAAATATTCTGAGATTCTCATTCTTTGCAGTGTTAGCCATAATGTGTCATCATCTACCCAACCAAATGCTTTTACATAGTCAATAGACCACATGTAAACATCTTTCTGCTATTCTCTGCTTTCAGCTAAAATCCATCTGAAATCAGCAGTGATATCCCTGGTACAGCTTGAGCTTCTGGAAGTTCCCTGTTAATATACTGTTCCATGTATCACACTACAACATAGAAAGGCCAAAACAAAAGGAAAAAATATTTTGTAATGATGTGAAAGAGATGTACAGGATATTTCAAACAGCCAAAGCAAAGTGTGATAAGGAAATATGCAAATAGCTGGAGCTAAAAAAACCCAAAAAGAACATACTTGGCATATTTTAAGCTGAAAGAATTGAAAACAATTTCAGTCTCAAGTTGCAATACTGAAGGATTCTCAGTTTTTTTAGGAAACATCAAAATAAGATGGAAGGAGAATATAGAGTCACTCCACCAAAAAGAACTAGTTGATTGACATGGAACCATTTCAGGAAGTAGCATATGCTCAAGAACCAGTGGCACGAAAGAAGAAATTCTAATTGCACTGAAAGCATTGGCAAAAAATGAGTCCTAGGGAATTGATTGAATACCAGCTGAGTTGTTTCAGGAAACAGATGCAGCCTTGGATGTGATTACCAGTCTATGCTGAGAAATATGGAAGACCTGGCCAATTGACTGGATTTTTTTTTAAAAAAGGTGATCTAGCAGAATGTGAAGGAAAAGCTGTTGCCACTAGGGTTCCTTAAGTAGGGTAAGCACTTGGATAATATCCACAAGCATTCTGTGGGTACTGTTATGCCCATTTTACAGATGAGGAAACAGTCACAGATTACAATGTGTCTTTGGACTAATTGGGTTTGATGTTCTCTTTCTACCACTTTCTTTCCCCCTTTCATACTGGGTGCCTCCTCTCCCACTTCATGAGTGTGGCCCAGTTTCTTGTGTCCTCCCTCCCAACAGGAACGGATCCCCTTTGCCGTGGTGGGGGCTGACCGAGAGCACTTCGTAAATGGGACATGTGTCCTGGGCCGGAAGACCAAGTGGGGCATCATTGAAGGTTAGTGAGGGCCAGGGAAGTTTTCTTGATGACTCAGGTGAGAAAGACTGTAAACCAGGGGTATGTGAGCAGGAGACAGGTGAACATGGGATAGAGCCCTACCTCTACCAACTCTGTCCTGGTGGCAAGTCACCTGACCTCATAGCCAAGTGGACAATGGACATCATCCTCACATCAACCTTTTGAGGTTGGAATTACAGATAAAGGGAACTTTCACCACTTTGCATGATGCCTGTCTTTAGGGACCAGGGATGGATGGTGGGCATATAAGCAAGGTAAGCTCCATCTTACTTGTGCTTACTGACTGATTTGTCAGGAACTATTGCATATGGTTTAAGATATGGTGGAATCTAAGTGGTTCCCTAATCAACACTCTTGGTACCAGCAACTAAGAAATTAAAAGATTAATTGCATTGGGAAAGTCTGCTGTTAGAGACCTCTCCAAAGTACTGAAGAGCAAAGATGTCAGTATGGAGACTAAGGTATGCCTGATACAGGCCATGGTCTTTGTAATTACTTGCTGTGCATCAGAGGGCTGGACAACGACTAGGTATGATAGAAAGAGAGTTGATGCCTTTGAGCTGTGGTGCTGGAGAAGAGTGTTGAATATACACCATGGACTGCTAGGAGAACAAACAAGTTCATCCTAGAGAGGGTGAGGCCAGGCTGCTCCTTGGAAGCAAGGATTCTGAAGCTTCATCTGACATACTTTGGACATATACAAGGCGGGATCAGTCCTTCGAGAAAGACGTCATGCTTGGGAGGGTAGGGGGACAGCGCAGGAGACAAAGACCCTCAATGAGATGGATTGATTCAGTCACTGGGGTAATGAGGATAGGCGTGTTGGAGACAATAAGATTGGCAAAAGACAGAGCAGAGTTTGGGGCTGTTGTACATAGGGTTGTTATGAGTCGCAGGTTACTCGAAAGCACATAAAACAAAAAACAATGGGAAAGGGCTGCTAGCTAGCATCTTGATGGCAGTCTGTTTGATTTGTTACTGCTCTTCTCCCCCCAGAAGCCTTTAACCAAGGGTGGAGGTCTGCTAGGAGGTGTGGCTTTCAAATTTTGCAGGGCCCTCTGGCCTGTGGCCCTCAGGTCAAATTTATTCATTTAAAATGAATATTCTTTAAAATTAATGAACAGAAATCTTTTGTCTATTTGCTGTACTGAACTACTTGGAGTTGCTGTCATGCTTGCTGCACACTGCTCCATAATCTTGTCAAATGAATGGTTACTCGTTACATCCAATGTGTAGATGAGCTTCCAGATTGATTCATGCTGGGGAGCAGGAGTGGCATCCACTTCCTAAACTAGAGGCCTCTGGAAACTCTACAATAAACTCTCTAAACTCTATGAATGTACAGAAACGATGTTATAGAATAGGGTTCAGGTCTTTTGTGCAAAGCTTACTCTCGGTAGTATTCGACTTGACGATACTTAACCCCTGTTAAATGAGACTAGTGTTGTTATATCTGGAGGAACACTCTTCCACTTTGAACATCACTCTTTGTCAATGTGCTGTATGAAATAACCTGGGTTTGCTGTGATGCTGAATATTGTGCCATTGGGTTATCAAATACCAGAATGGTTTCCTAATGTGGACAGTATCTGGTGGAGCTCCCAGTTGTAAAACAGGTTTGGAAGCAGGAGTGGCATCCACTTCCTAAACCACATGCCTCTGGAAACTCTATGAACTTGGAGAAACGATGATAGTTATGGAAAGACATTAGGTCTTTTGTTCATAGAGTCAGTATGAGTCATGCTCAACTCAATGGCAATCAACAACAACAATGGTTCAAATCTACCAGTAACTCTTCTGGAGAAAGATGGGTGCAGCCTTGGAAAACTCAGTGGAGTTAGGGTCAGGTGTCAGAACGGACTTGACAGGAGCAATTTGCTTTTTCTCAGTAAGGAAGCACAGGGTTGGGGTTAGGGTTAGGGTTAGGGTTAGGGTTAGGGTCAGGATCAGGGTCAGGGTCAGGATTAGGAGTCAGAATGGACTCGACAGTAGGCATTAATTTTGTTTTTCTCAGTAAGGAATTAGAGGTCAGCCTGTGCTTACCTGACTGGTTGGAGTTCCATCCCTGCTAGAAATGATCACTTTGGAAAAAGATCTTGATCATAGCAGGGACTGTGGAGTTGGGGGATGGACACATGTTAGTCACCTTTAGAAGCAGAGCCTTTGATGTGAGAAAGTGAAATTAGCCCAGATGAGGAAGTGTGCATAAGCCACTAAGCTCACCCTGCTTACTGGGTGTTCTGACTTTGTCCAGAGGCTCCATTCTCTCAATAGAGCTTATCAGGTGCCTCCCACGTGCCATTCTGGGCATGTAAGAAAGCAAGGCAGATCAGGATCTGTCCCCAGAGAGAGTGTTTCAAGAGGGCCGAAGAGATCACTGACAACTCCAAAGAGACAACTCTAATGACAGTGGGAAGGAACACAGGGGATGGGAGATTGTCTTCATTACTGTCATGGATTGTCTTACGTGTCCTCAAAACACATGTCTGTCATGATATAATGTGGAAGTTAAACATTCATCATGGACTGACAAACCAAACTATTCAAAAAGGTTTAAAGATGAGGTATAACACCTTAATCCCATCACAGCCTAAATCCAATGAAAGGGAAGTTTACTGGTATTGACCTTTGTGGTTAGTGGTGGTGTTAGGAACCATTGAGTCAGCTCTAGCTTGGCAACTCTGTGCACAAGAGAAAGAAACATCACCAGTTACTGTACCATTGTCAGTGATTGCCATCCTCCATCCCTGTGTCTGTCCATCTCTCTGATGGTCTTCTTCTATCATTGGTCTCTACTTACCAAACATGATATAGTCTCTCTTGATAGCATCTCCAGAAATGGGAGATGAAGTGCATTGTGGCTGCACTTCCTCCAAGATAGCTTTGGTTTTTTTGTAGCCTACAGAATGTTAAAAATTCCTTATCAGTGCCACAATTCGAAGGCATCCATTCTTCAGTCTCCTTTATTTATTTGTTATTGTTGTTGTGTACCAGAGATTCAGAACCAACCAATAACTGACGTACCAGCAGGTCTTCAGTGGCAGTTAAGTGAATGGGAGGAGATTATTCATCCTTCTCCTGTGGAGCATTCTCAAACTGTGTGCTTTCGGGTTTGCAGCCCAACTTCTTGCCATGAGGCCTCCAGATTATACTTTAATAATTATAGTAAACAATGAGATGTGGGCTAGAAGCCTCTTGTTTAGGGTCAACCAGGACCTGGTGGGCAGACCTTTGTATTTAAAAGTTGGTTGGGCCCTGATTAAGTCTCCAGTTTAGAGGCTCATCTGTGAAGCAGTTGGATTCTGGAAAGTGGGTTCTCTTGTTTTGGTTGAGGGTCAGGTGTGGACTGTTTGGTTGGGGTGGCTTCCCCCCCACACACAATCATGTGTGAGTTGATTGGTTTTGCTCCATTTAGCTAACAATGAGCTGTTGGCTGGAAGCCTCTTATTTAGACTTAACCAGGACCTGGTGGGCAGGCCTTTGTATTTAAAAGCCAGTTGGGTCCTTGAGTCTGCAGCCCTGAGGCCTGGTGTTAATTATGTTTTGGAAGAACATTCTTCTAAATGGTACAGCATTGGTCTGTCAATTTTTTATGCTGAGATAACTTGAGGTTGCTGTGATGCTGAACACTGTGCCATTGGTGTATCAAATGCCATAACGGTTACCCATAGTGGATAGTGTTTGGTGGAGCTCCCAGATTGAGACAAGCTTGGAGGCAGGAGTGGCACCACTTCCTAAACAACATGCCTATGCCTCTGGAAACTCTATGAAATGACAATAGTTACAGAACAGGGTTCAGGGTTTTTTTGTTCATGGGGTTGCTATGAGTTATGCTTGGCTCAACAGCACTTAACAACAACAACAAACACAGGTATAATTCCATAGGGAGGCAGATGGGGTCTTCTCCTGAGGTTTCCAGCCTCAGACTCACAGTGAAGGGTTGCCGTAAGTTAGAATCAACAGCAGTGGTTGGGGGCTTGTTCATTGATTCAACAGATGTTTGTAGGGGTCACCAACACCAGGAGGTAGGGTGTGTGATGCAAAGGCAGGAATAAATGAATGAATGGACGGACAGGAGGTGGGCTCAGGAGAAGGCTCTAGTGGGTCTCTGGCATGCTGCATATACAGCAGGCACTCAGCAGCTGATGTTTTGCAGTGGAGAACATTGCACACTGTGAATTTCCACTCCTGAGAGACCTGCTTATCCGGTGAGGAGCGGACAGGTCTGGGAGCCCCGGGACTGGAGGGGACCGTGGAGGACACCTACCAAGGCTGGGCTGTCACCTGCCTCCCAGGTCCCACCTGCAAGACCTGAAGGACATCACCCACAATGTCCATTACGAGAACTATCGCGTTTGCAGACTCAACGAGAGCCACGTGCTGCCCCGCGGGCCAGGCTGGGTGAAACTGACCCCCGCACCCGCTGGCTCCCCGCTCATCCCCAGGTCCTCCAAGTCCCACAGGCGGATCCAAGAGGACTAGGAAGAGGAACTGAGCCCTGGTGGATTCTGAGCCTGCTGAGCCCTGGACTTCGTGTGTGTGCCTGTGCGCACCTGTGTACCAGAGCATCTATTAAAGGTGGACATTGCTTTTTATAGCAAGCTGTGTTCCCAAAACCAAAGGCGTTTTGTAAACAGTTTCTTTGAACTTTTCAGATATAAAAGTGTAACTCTTTTGTAACAATAGGAGACACAAGGCCTTCAGTGGTCTTCAAGCCTGGAAAGGAGTCCCTTGAGTAAACAGCCTACCTCTGCCCTAATCAAACTCAAGTTACCCAGCACATGCAGAGATGCCCAACTGTCTACCCCTCCCCTTGTTCCCAGCACAGCATTGAGACCCTGGGTTTTCAATGATCCACACTGCCGTTACTCAACTTCCCCAAATTTGGCATTCCACTGCCTCTGGTGTGGGTGTCAGAAGGCTCTCTTTCTCCTACCCGCAGCACAACATCTGTTCTGGTGACTTAGTGTATTGTGGTACATTGCTAATCCAAAGGTCAGACATTCAAATACACCAGCTGCTCCAATGCAGAAAGCTAAGCAGTTTCCTCCTATAGAGATTTACAGTCTCAGAAACCTGATGTCACTGTTGAAGCTGTATCTGTGGGTATTTCCTAAGAGAACTAAGATTGGGGGATGATCCCTAAAATCTAGGGAATTGTGGAGAGACACCTAAGTTACAAGAGTAAGTGCATGTTGTTATTGTTATATGCCATCCAGTCACCTATGATTCATAGAGATCCTATGAACAATGCTCTGAATCTTGCCTGATTCTGAGCCAACCTCACCAAGCTTGTCAGGGTGCTGACTGTAAGGAGAGGTGTCTTCTTCCTGTTTGTTCTGGAGGAAAGTCCTTACTTCCTTCAGCACCTGTCAATCAGTATTCCTGGGAGATATCTATGTGTCTTGGCATTATTCTACCTGTGTTAAGGAGCTTCAAAGACCAATAACCTTGGTCCAAAACCCACTTTCTGCCTCTAGTCTTCTTCTTTTATGCATACAATAGCTTTTATTCTGAATTATAATGAAATTAAAATTCCAGACAATCATTACTTAGAAGATCCAATGACATTATTTTAAAATTGTTTGCATGATAGCATTCTATAAACGTGAGCTAAATTTTTTCATAACATCACTTCCTTTACATTTACTATATCAAGTTTTAACAACAATCAATTACAGTTAGATTAATAATTGATACAAATTTGATGTGTAGTAACACCGGGATACTGGGAAGAAATCTGATTAACATATCAGTACAGCTCTAATTCACCAAAGAAAATACTCAAGTTCCCAAACCAAACTAAAGTTATGCTGCATTTAAAAAAAAGCCAGTTAGGATTCAGAAACAGTTTTAATATAGTGGAAGCTGAAATCAGTGTATACATTTTAGACCATTTTCTAAAGTCTCTCAGAGTCTCCCAGGCTATAAAGCATTTCCTGCCTGTGATGCTTTGAATTTGGGGGTTTTCCTTCCCTTTTTTCTCTTTGCTTTCAGTCTTTTTCTTCTGCCTCTGGATCATACAAATTGTGTACTGTTTATGCTGATTTAAGGGGTTTTGTTTCTCTTAATATCAGACTCCATTTTTATGTCATTTTTAAATTAATTTTAATGAACATTTACAGAGATTTTGGATTTCCATTCATTCATTGCTGCACTTCTTATTTTTTTTTTTTTTATTTCTTTTCATTGCTGCACTTCTTTGTCATTTTATCATTAGTATCACACTGCATTTTCTCTGGTAATGTTTGGGTACCACAACAGTAGCTTGAACATCATTCTTTAAAACATCATCTACTTTGAAAATACTTTTAAGCCAGCTGAGCTCCTTTGGTGCATTCTTTTTCCTCTCTTCAGCACGCATCTTCTTTTCCACTTACTTAATAAGCTTTAAAAAGCCATGTTTAAATGGAGCAAAGGAATCGAACCAAGCAGAAGTTCTGTATCTTTCATCTTATTTCCCAGAGATATTGAGGTCCCCTTCCCTGCTGTCTTCCTCTCTTCTTTCACCTCTTAAGAGATAACTCAGTGGTTCAAATCCATCAAATGTTCCACTGGAGAAGGGGCAATCTACTCCTGTGACAGTTGAATCTGATTCAGTGGTACACAACAACAACAAAAAGAAAGAAAAAAAAAAGAGATAACAGCTAACTAAACTTCTCCCCACAACATTCTCTATCGTTTGTGTGGCTCTAAGTCTTTCTCCTCACCTTTCACCAAATTAAATAGTTCTTCATATTGATACATTCTTTTCAAGCAGGGAATAGAGCTCACCAAATAAGTCTTACAACAATGCTGGGACATGAAAAGGAAGAACCATTACTGTGTTTCCTTGTGAGATTTAATTTAAATAAATATAAAGGGGGGGGGGACAGTTTTCTAAGAATACTCCAGATCAGGATTGTGATATGATGAAGACTGATGCATCCCACTCTGATCCCCTTGCAGTTACTGGACGATCATGTCATAGGGAGTGACCTGTCACTGTTGGTCTGTCAGTGTGTGTCCGTTGTTCTATGCAGTTGACTTGTGAGGCTGAAAGCTTTTGTAGTAGCAGCTTAAATGAAGCATTAGAGAAGCCATTTTACAGGTTAGCGTTGTTATTGTTGTGTTGTTATATGCCATCGAGCCACCTCATAGTGATCCAATGTACAAGAGCCCTAAACCCTGCTCTATCCTGTGCCAACCTCACTGTTTCTGACACACCTACTCCCATTACCCCATCCATCTTATCAAAGGTCTTTCTCTCTTACGCTGTCCCTCTACCCTCCCAAACATGATGTCCCTCTCCAAGGCCTGGTCCCTTCTTCCAAAGCATGTCAGACGAAGCTTCAGAATCCTGGATTGATTCAGTGACTGGGGTAATCGGGATGGGTGTGTCAGAGGCAGTGCGAGTGGCACAGGATAGAGCAGGCTTTAGGGCTGTTGTACTTTGGATCACTATAAGGTGGCAAGCGACTCGACAGCACATAACAACAGCAACAAAAGAAAAACAAAGCCACTGCTGTTCAGTCATCCTGACTCCTAGTGGCCCCACTGGGTTTCCACGGCTCTAAATTTTGAAAGGAGACTGTCCGTTTTTCTCCCATAGAATGCCTCTGAACTGCCGATCTTTTTGCTAGCAACCCAACAGAGAACACACCAGCCATCAGGGCTACTTGGTACACACATCAAAAACTCAAAAATTGATTGCTATAGAGTAAGAACTGACTCAGAGCTGACCTTTCTGTGGGTTTTCAGAAGATATGAATTGCTATGGCCTGAGGAGACTTCCTAACAGGCAAGAAGTGGGGAGAACATGAGGAGGAGGAAAGAACAGCACATAATAGCTCAGAAGTTTGAAGCATGTGCAACCCGATCGAAGGAAGATGGCAGCGGTTGAAAACGGGTCGGAAAAGGAAGGATTCTCAACTCAAGGCGAAGTAGCCGGGCTCACGCACATAGCGCGGTCTGGCTTCTCGATCCATGTCCGTTTCTTAGTCTCATCTTAGCCTCTCTTGCAGCCCAGCTTGCCAGGATGCTAACGGCCTCCTGGCTGAACTTTTAAATTCTAAAACTGGGAAGCAAGAAAACTCATTTTCTTTCGCTCCACCCTCTCCTGAGTCCCTGCGTTTCCACTATTCTGTCCAATTCCCGACTTGAAGCAGAGCGTAGACAAAGCGAGGCCGCTCACCTCGCACCACACAGGACAGAAGTGTCCCTACGGCCGGGGAGGACGTGCTGATGTTCGGGATACTTGGTGGAAAAGACTCTGCGCTGGACTTCCAACTCCATTTTTACAACAGGATCGGCTGTCTATCACCAGAGAACCACACGGTGCAAACTCCGCGACCACTGACCGTCCCGCGCGCCCCCGCCCCCAACGTCCCCCTGCGAACGTCCCGGCGTGCTCCGCGCCCTCAAGCAACCATTTCCGGGGCGCGGGAGCTCTTCTGCCGCTACTTCCGGGGCGCGGAAACTAGCCAGCGGGACACTCGGACCACGGTTATTAAGGGGCGCGGCGGCGGCTGAGGACCGAGGCCCGACGCAGGTAGGCACCTGGTATCCCGCTGGGAGTACTCCCCTGTCGCCGAGTGCGGAGGGTCGAGCTGTCCAGTCGGGACGCTAACGCCTTGTGCTCCGAGGTGACTGCGCGGAGGCCACAGCGGCCGCCCCTGGCGCCAAGCCTGGTTGTCAGTTCAGGACCCTGCTAGGCTGGTGAATGAAATTTCTAACCCCGCCGTCTGGGCTGGAGATGCCCCGGGGGCGTTGCTCTAACTATGGCCGACCCTGAACAGCACTGCTTTGAGCGCACAGGTTTACTTATTCGCGATTTCTTTTATGCTAATCCTCTTCACCTGAGTATGTACCACCCTGAGTGTCGCTATGACAGTAAAAAGTGTCCGCAGTTCTCGAAGGAGTTCTCATGCTGCATGTATGTTGGGCCACTAACCGAAAAGTTAATTCTTATCCACCAGTTGCCGTACAGGACAGGCATCTTTCCCAGAAGTCTGTGTGTGCTGCGTTTATTTATCTTGAAATTTGAGGGTAACCTCAGAGGCAGTCGTCACCTGCTGCACCTGTCAAGCAGTAGAATTTTTTCTTGAACTGTCATGCACGACTTTCCTCTGCTTCTTGGGAGCACTTCCTGGTGTCACTCACTGCACTTCCTGTGTGTTTTTCAGAAACTCAAACCAAACTCTGAGGTGGAGTTGGTTTGGACATAGTGACCGATCACTGTTTCCAGGGTACATAATGAGATCACGGGTGTGGTGCGAGGCTGTAAATCACACGGGAGGAGATTGTCTGTGGCTCCCTTGGAGCCACTGGTGGATTCCAACAGCCAGAGAGGTGCAGCCTTTCCCCTAGCCGCACAGCTCCCTAGGAACCAGGCCGCCAGAGCACCTGAAGTTACGGACACTTAACATTTCATAAATAGAGTGAAAATGGAAAGCTCCCATTTCCAGTTCTCTTTGCTGAAGACATGTTCAATACATTCCAAGCAAAGTTTTCTATGTTAATACAAATATGGGTGCAAATGTAACCCATCTTATTACTAGCTTACTCTCTACTTTATTCCGTAAGATAAAAATAATCACTTAAAATAAAAACAAAGGGTAGCATCTGCCCAAAAATGGAGCTCAGAACGTGGGAAGGGATAGTAAACAAGATTGTAAACAAGAATCACAGGGAGAAAGTCGCAAGTCTGTGTTTACATAATGAGCATTGTCCTTAATGTCACAGGGGTGAATGGTTGAGTGGAAGACCAATTCCATTTGTAAACTTTAGCTGAAATCACAATTTCATAAAAAGCGTGAGGAATTCTGTCAGATGCCTGTTCTGCATCTATTAAGATGATTATGTTTTTCAGAGCCAAGCTGTAACCCCAAGTTAAGAGATCCTTCCCACTATACCCCAGAACCCTGCTGGACAGATGGCCAGGTAACATCTTTCTTGGCCCAGCCAGCAGGTGGTCCGTTTCCAGGCAGCTAGCTCCCTTTTTAGAATTGGCAGTAAGATGCACCTCAGTGTGGCATGATGGAGCTGTATTTGAGGAAGGGTTCCAGGGTAGCCACGTCACTGTCATAGTACCAATGGATAGCCTCCCATGGGCAGTCAGAAAGCCATATCATTTCATATCCCAGAACATCCAGGAAGGAAAGACCTAACTCTTGTGCCTCCCTCTGCAGTCATGTCGGAGCTGAGTGATGAGGCAAGTGAACCAGAACTTCTGAACTGTAGCTTATCCATGTGGCATGGGCTCGGTGCACAGGTCAGCTGGGAGGAGCTGGATGTCCCCTTGGATCTGCACACTGCTGCATCCATTGGCCAGTACGAGGTGGTGAAGGAGTGTGTCCAGCGGTAAGAGGGCCTGGGAAATGTCCATTCTCTGAGCTGGCTATGGTGACTTAGCTCAGATTCCATGTGAGCATACCTTAAATTAACATTCCTTGTGTGTGGGGCAAGCTAACCTATTTTTGTGGAGCATTCTCAAGGAAGGCAGCAGTTATTTCCAGGAGAAGAGGAGGGATGTAAAATCTTCATTGGCAAGTAAATATTTCAGACTTTAAACTTCCAAGACAATGTGTGCATATTATGTACTGTCAAGTCAGAATTAATCCTTAGCTAACCCTGAAGCAGGTTTTCAGAGGCAGTAAATCTCATGGGAGGAGACTGCACATCTTTCTCCTGCAGAGCAGCTGATGGATTTGAACCGCTTGCCTTTGGATTGGCCATGTAGCTCCTTACCACTAGGCCACCATAACATCTAATTTCTTACAAAAATTTTTAAGAGAAAAGCTAGTAACTGATAACTTGAGGATCTTCTTTTACCTCAGGATTGCTGAAGGGACGGAAAGGGGTTGGGTTTTATCTTTTTTTTTTTAATTATAAAAAAATAGTTTATCTGTTTGCTTCATACATTAAAAAAACCTGAACAGTGCATTTCATTATAAATCCAAGGATTTGCAAGTCAGCTTTAAATTGTTGTTGTTGTTATGTGCCATCAAGTCACCTGCAATTCATAGCGATCCTATGTACAACAGCCCTAAGCCCTGCTCTATCGTGTGCCAATCTCACCGCCTCCTACACGCCTACCCCAACTACCTCAGTCACTGAATCAGTCCACCTCATAGAGGGTCCCTCCATCCTCCCAACCATGACATCCTTCTCCAAGGATTGGTCCCTCCTTGCAACATGTCCAAAGCATGTCAGATGAAACTTCAGAATCCTTGCCTCCAAGTAGCAGCCTGGTTTAACCCTCTCTAGGACGAACCTGTTTGTTTTCTTAGTAGTCCATAGTATATTCAATAATCTTCTCCAACACCACAGCTCAAAGGCATCAATTCTCCTTTTATCATCCCTGGTCATTTTCCAACTCTCTAATAAATGCATGGACTGTATAGGAACCTTTTTTTTCTGTTAATGAATCTTTATTTCAGGATATATCTGTGTATGTGTGTGTGTGTATATCTATATATGTTGTTGTTATGTGCCATCGAGTCGCTTGCAACTCATGGCGACCCTATGTACAAGAGCTCTAAACACCGTTCTATCCTGTGCCAACCTAGCCATCTCAAATGCACTTATTCCCGCCACTCCAGTCACAGAATCAGTCCATCTCATCAAAGGTCTTCCTCTCCTTTGCCGCCCCTCCACTCTGCCATACGTGATGTCCCTCTCTAAGGACCAGTCCCTCCTTGCAACATGCCCAAAGTATGTCAGAGGAAGCTTCAGAATCCTTGACTCCAAGGAGCATTCCGGCTTTACCTTCTCTGGGACAAACCTGTTTGTTCTTCTAGCAGTCCATGGTGTATTCAACACTCTTCTCCAGCACCACAGCTCAAAGGCATCAATTCTCTTTCTATCATCACTATTCACTGTCCAACTCTGATGCATAGCACGTAATTGCGAAGACTGTAGCCCGAATCAGGCGCACCTTAGTCTCCAGCCTGACGTCGTTGCTCTTCAGTACTCTTGAGAGGTCCCTCACAGCTGACTTTCCCAGTGCAATTCGTCTCTTGATTTCCTGGCTGCTGTTACCAAGAGTGTTGATTGTGGAGCCAAGCAAACGAAAACTGTTAGCTATCTCAATCTCTTCACCATCCATACTGATGCTGCCAATTGGCCCAGTGGTGAGAGTCTTTGTTTTCTTGATGTTGAGCTTCACTCCATATAGGAGGCTACAGTCCTTGACCTTCTGCAGCAAGCACTTCAGATCCTCCTCAGTTTCAGCAAGCAGGGTTGTGTCATCTGTATAACACAGATTGTTGGGAATCTTCCACCAGTCCTGATGCCACATTCCTCCTTGTACAGCCCAGCATCTCGGATGATCTGTTCTGCATACAGATTGAAAAGGTATGGAGACAAAATACATCCCTGACAGACTCCCTTCTTGATTTTAAACCATGTAGTGTCTCCTTGCTCTGTTGTGACAACTGCCTCTTGTCCACATATAGTTTTTGCCTTAAGACAGTCAAATGTTCTGGGATTCCCATTCTTCTGAGTCAGCCACAGCTTGTTTTGATCCACACAGTCAAAAACCTTTGCATAGTCTAATGAAGCACAGATAGACATTCTTCTGGTATTCTCTGCTTTCTGCCAAGATCCATCTAACATTAGCTATAATATCCCTAGTACCATGACCTCTTTTAAATCCAGCCTGCACATCTGGCAATTCTCTGTTGAAATATTGTTTCAAACGTTTTTGGATAATTTTCAGCAGAATCTTGCTTGCATACGATATTGTTCAATAATTTCCGCACTCCATTGGGGCACCTTTCTTTGGAATAGGAACAACTATCGATCTTTTCCAGTCAGATGGCACACACACACACACACACACACCCCAAATTCACATACGGTTCTCAATTGGACTTTTGAGATATTGTACTACTACCATTTACAAGTAGTTTTTCCTTTTCTCTTTTGAAGGCTCAGACACTATAAAAGAGAACCATTCTCCCAGTCTTTCTTATCTTGTACTTGATATAAATAGAAACTTTTAATTACTTTACCCTAAAGAGGGGGAGGGAATCAAACCAACAAAAAACTGAGCTCTAACATTTGCGTAGGGAGAATATATAAAAAACAGATCTAAAATATTGTTAACTGTTTTGTGCTGTCGAATCACTAGCAACTCATAGTGATGCTATGTACAGTAGCCCTGAAACCTGCTCTATTCTGTGCCAACTTTACTCTCTTCTGACACACCTACCCTCATTACTCCAGTCACTGAATCAGTCTATCTCATTGATGGTCTTCCTCTCTTTCTCTGTCCCTCCACCCTTCCAAGTGTGATGTCCCTCTTCAAGGACAGTCCCTCCAAGCGTGATGTCCCTCTTCCAGGACAGTCCCTCCTTGTAACATGCCCAAAGTGTGTCAGATGAAGCCTCAGAATTCTTACCTCTAAGGAGCAGCTTGGTTTCACCCTCTCTAGAACAAACTTGTTTGTTCTCCTGGCACTCCATGGTATATTCAGCTCTGTTCTCTAGTGCCACAGCTCAAAAGCATCAATTCTCTTTCTGTCATCCTTAGTCATTGTCCAGCTCTCTGACACATAGCAAGCAATTATGAAGACTATGACCTGCACCTTAGTCTCCAGACTGATGTCATTGCTCTTTAATATTCTGGAGAGGTCCCTGACAGCCTACTTTTCCCAGTGCAGTTCATCTTTTGATATCCTGGCTGCTGGTACCAAGAGTATTGATTGTGGAGCCAAGTAAATGAAAGCTGTTAACAATCTCAATCTCTTCACCATGTATCATAATACTGCCAGTTGGCCCAATGGTGAGAATCTTTGTTTTCTTGATGTCGAGCTTCAATCTATATTGAAGGCTGCAGTCCTTGAACTTCAGCAGCAAGCACTTCAGGTCCTCCTCAGTTCGAGCAAGCAGGATTGTGTCATCTGCATAATGCAGGTTGTTGATGAGTCTTCCTCCAGTCCTGATGTCACATTCCTCATCATAGAGCCCAGTCTCCCAGATGATCTGTTCTGTATATAGACTGAAAAGATAAGGAGACAAGATACATCACTGGCATATAGTCTTTCTGATTTTGAACCATGCAGTGTCTCGTTGTCCTGATCTGACTGCTGCCTCCTTGTCCAAGCATAGGTTTCACATAAGCACAATGAAATGTTCTGGGATTTCCATTCTTCTCAGAGTCAGCCACAGTTTGTTGTGATCCACACAGTCTAATGTCTTTGAGTAGTCAATAAAGTATAGACATTTTTCAGGTACTCTCTGCTTTCAGCCAAGATCCATCTAAGATTAGTTGTAATATTCCTAGTACCATGGCCTCTTGTAAACTCAGCCTGCACATCTGGCAGTTCTCTGTTGATGTACTACTATAGTTGTTTTTGGATAATTTTCAGCAGAATCTTGCTTGCATGTTCTATTAATGATATTGTTCAGTAATTTCTGCACTGTCAGGTCACCTTTCTTTGGAATGGGAACAAATACATATCTCTTCCAGTCAGTTGGCCAGGTGGTTGTTCTCCACATTTCTTGGCACAATTTGGCGTATCCTGGGCAGCATCTCTTTGTTGAAATATGTCAATTGGTATGATGGCCATTCCGGGAGCCTTGTTTTTTGCCAGTTCTTTCAGAGCAGCTTGAACTTCTTCCTTCATCACCATAGGCTCTTGCTCATATGTTGTTTCATAAAATTCTTCTGTGTCAGCCAATTCCTTTTGGTACAGTGACTCTGTATACTCGTTTCATCTTCTTTTAAACTTCTTGGATCATTTAATAGTCTTCCCAGAGCATCCTTAAGTATTGCAACTAATGGCTTGACTAAAATATTAGGAAGGCATCAATTTTGTATTTCTAGGTTGACCATTCAGCCCCAAGCCAGTTTTGCACGACAGAATAGCTTGTTTCAGGTCTACCTATAGCTTGTGAATTTTAGTAAAAGAAGTACAAGTGAAACTTTGCTTTAACTGCAGAAAGAAAACTCAGAATGATATGGGATGGGAAAAGTAAGTCATTCACGTCAATTATCTTAGGCAATTTTACACTATTCTTGGAGATTAAAAAGCTAATCCAAAGGCTTATTTCTTTCCCAGACTTTGAAAAAGTAGCACCTGCCCCTGCCCCCTCACAATTCCTTTCCTCCCTTCAGTAAAATGCAGAACTAAGGGTTTTGGCTGCTTGGGCTGTTCCTGCACCCCAGAAAACAAAGGGGATTCCCAGCCATTGCCCTCCAAGGCTGAGCATCACCTGTACTAGAGTTTTAACTTCTGTATTCATAACTCATTCTAATATTAGTAGCAAACAAGTTACAAGAAGTGTGGAGTCAACTTTGTCCCAAATATACCTGTGTATAAGTCCATGATTTCTAACAGTACTAGCTCCTCCTTTGTTCACTTCCCCAGCTCCTCTGTGTCTCTTGGAATGGTTTGCTGGAAGATCTCAGACCCATCTGGGGACTGAATGACTCATGTGACTGTAGATAGGCAGGCCAGTTTTGAAGAGACTGGTGAACATTGTAGACTATCCATTGAAGGCAAAGGTCCCAAGATAAAGAGAGAGCTAGCGCTGAGATTGCATGAGCTTATTTAGGCCTCTGGTAGGGTGGAGCCCGATTAAAAGAAGCTTGGAAGCAGGACTGGCATCCATTTCTGAAACAGCTTGCCTCTGGAAACCCTATGAACCTCGAGAAAGGCTGAAAGCTATACAGGTGTTCAGATCTTTCGTTCATAGGGTCGCTATGAGTTGCCCACAACTTGATAGCACTTAACAACAACAACAGTAGGGTGGGGCTTGAACCATCCTAATTCTCCCTCCTTAGTACAATAAGTAGTTAAGCACGCAGTCATTGGCTAGGAAAGACATTTTGAATGATAAAGCTTAGACACTTAGATCTTCTCTGGAGGGCCCCTGAGTCAACTTCCTAAGGGCTGTTTTGCTCGTGTGTGTTTGTGCATTAGAGGAGCCCTGATGGGGCAATGGTTAAGTACTAGATTGCTAACTAGGCTAGCCACAGAACCCACCCAAGACCTCCCAGGAGAGAAGACCTGATGGTGTCCTCCTGTAATGATGACAGCCTGAAGCCTTCAGTTGGAACCTCCAGAAAAAAAATGTTGGTGGCCTTTTCCATAGGGAGCTCTGTGGCAATTAAAATCTACCAGCGCCTCCATTGGTGAAAGATGGGCAGTCTCTTCACATGCAGTTTACAGCCTTAGAAATCCAGAGGGTCAGTAGTGAGGCAGTTGTGATTAGATGCCAATGAGGATGAAAAAATGAGCTTTCATAATAACTAAGCTCCTGGTCTTAAAGTCTCACATGGTCAATTGGCATAACAGAAACAGAGTTTTACATCCTACTTTGTTGAGTAGTGACTGGCGTCTTAAAAGCTTTAGAGCAACCATCTAAGGTGCAACTCTTGGTGTCTCCCTGTCTGAAAGAAATAGGCATTGAGACAGTTAGTCTAAAGGATTCCACATTGCTGACATAAGAAAGACTAGGTGGTCCTTACCACTCTAAAAAAGATGATGGTAAAAATACTGGGTATAGTGGGCAAAAACATGGAGCAAGACTAAAAAATATTTAAGTAGCCAGGCAGGACAAAGATGGGCAGTTTCTTCCTGGTGCAGTTTACCACCTCTGAAAACCTACTGAAAGGTCAGCTATGAGTCACTTCTGCTCACCATCAATATGAGAGAGAGTGAGAGAGAAAAATACACTTGTCCAATAGGGAATCACTCGTTGCTCTTTTGCCCAGCCACATAAGCTCAAAAGAAGGTAATGCCCAGAAGGCAGAAAGGTGTAGGATAGAAGGATTAAAGGAAATGAGAATTCCAGAGGGAAAGTAGAAAGGGCAAATTGTATTATAATTAATGTTATAAGACAAAAGACTTGGTAATGGTTGGTTGGAAAACCAGTTTACTTTGTAAACTTTCACTCAGATGATAAGGAAAATAAGGTTAGTGCCTAGAAAACACTGAAGAACTCAATTCTGCTCTGTCACATGGTCACATTGGGGTGGTCTGATTCCATTCAGGTCCCTGGGCTTCCTCTGGCCTTGCCTGCTCAACAGCAGTGGTGTAGGGACCAGCAGGCAGTGGTGCAGGGTGAGGTGAGCATGTCTTGCATTTGTTTAGGAAAGAGTTGGATCTGAATAAGAAGAATGGTGGCGGCTGGACTCCACTGATGTATGCTTCCTATATTGGACATGATACCATTGTGCATCTACTGCTTGAGGCAGGGGTTAATGTGAATGTGCCCACCCCAGAAGGGCAAACCCCGCTGATGCTGGCCTCCAGCTGCGGCAACGAGAGCGTTGCCTACTTCCTCCTGCAGGTGAGCTCATGGTGGGATGGCTTCCTGACCATGCCAAGAGGTAGGAGATGAGAAAGCTCCCCTTGTCCAAAGATAGGAGGGCCCCCACCCCACCCAGAAGTGAGAGGGCCCTCAGCCCAGCCCAGAAGTGGGAGGGACCTCACTCTAGCCCTGAAGAGGGAGGGTCCCAGCCCAGAAGTGGGAGGACCCCCAGCCCAGCCCAGAAGCAGGAGGGCACCCTACCCATCCCACCCCAGACCCTATCCAGAAATGGGAGAACCTCTCATCCTTGTCCAGAGATGGGAGGGCCAAGATAGCACATGCTTGTGAGCAGGCATTATCACTCTGAACTCATGCAACCAGGGCAGTGCACAGTGACAAGCACGCTGTGTTCTTCTGAAGCAAGGTGCTGAGCTAGAAATGAAGGACATCCAGGGCTGGACCGCCCTTTTCCATTGTACAAGTGCTGGCCACCAGCAGATGGTCAAGTTCCTCCTGGAGAGTGGCGCCAATGCCAACACTCGGTGAGCAGAGAATTTCAGTGTCTCCTCTGATGCAAGGAGGGCTACCAGCCAGAGTCAGTGGGGCCAGGCCCACAATCTGAAATGGGGTTTATTTCAGTCATGTGAGACACAGTGTAGAACATGTGTTCTCTCCTCCGTCCACAAAGCCTTGTCTATAGGCATCATTAGAGATTAGGGGACCAAATTCAAACTGATACTGTTGTTGTTAGGTCCTGTCAGGTCAGCACAGCAATCCCATGTCCAGCCCTATCCTCCGCCTCTGCATCATCTCTGCTGCCTGAGCCAGTGTTACAGCCACTGGTCAGTCTGTCTTGTTTCAGATTTGCTTCTGATTCTTCCTCTTTGTCTCTGACTACCTTACCAAGAATGATATCCTTTTCTATGGACTACCCTCCTGATAACATGCCTAAGTGAAATCTCACCATCCTTTCCTCTAAGGCACATTCTACTTGTACTTCTTCCAAGACTGATCTGTTTGTTCTTTTGGCAGTCTGTGGTATATTCAGTACCGAACACTATAATTCAAAGGTATCAGTTCTTTGATTTTTCTTATTCATTTTCTAACTTTCACAATGCATATGAACAGTTAAAAATACCATGACTTTGGTCAGGCACACCTTAATCTTTAAAGTGATATCTTTGTTCTTCAGCACTTTAAAGATGTAGTTTAAAGATAGCAGTTTTACCTAGTGTATGTCATTTGATACCTCAACTGCTGCTTCCATAGGTGTTGATTGTGCAACCAAGCAAAATTAAATCCTTGACAATTTCAGTCTTTTCTCCTACATCTATCCTGATGTTAATTGGTCTGGTTGGGGCATTTTTGTTCTCTGGATGTTGAAGTGTGATTCATTCTGATCTTTTAAGTAGTGGTGTCATCTGAAGCATATGGTGAAGGTGATCCACCATCCACATGCAGGACCCAACACATGACCTGCTTCTGTGCAGTCTGCTTCCTGGGGCCAGTGCCCCACATAAGTCAGTGATGATGTGGGTGCTGTGGGGTACACCAGACTTCTACATAATGTTCCACTTCACCCGTGTACTGTGAAAAGCAGGTGATAAAAAAGACCAGGTATATCCCTTGGACCACATGGTCCCTGCCACACTGTCATAGTCAAGTTACAAACACAAGACAGTCTGAAGACTAACTATCAAACCAAAACCAGCCCCTTTCCTGCATGCCAGTTCCAACTTGGCAGCTGCCCCATAAGGTTTCTCAGGCTGCAGTCTTCCCACTGCCAGGAGCCAGCTGCTCCTCCCACACTAGAAGTGAATACTGCAAGACCAAGAATGGTAAGTATGAGTTAGAGATGAGTACCCCAAGGACCTATGATGCCCTCCGCTCCTAACTGAGAAGGTGAGGGTCTCTGTCCACCCAGAGGGCCACAGGGTCTGGTAGGCTGTTTTCCAGGCTCAGCCATAGTCAGTTCCATGGATTGGGGAGCAAGGGGCTCATGGAGGATGTTGAACACTTGGTTTAGGGGATATCTAACTTGCTGTGGGTAGTTGGGGAATGTCTGTGAGAAAGCAGGTGGGGCCAGCAGCTTATGGGAAGGAAGTCAAGGAGCAACTTTGTATCTAGAAGGCCAAAGCTTGACACAGACTAGAAGAGTGGGCATGTTGATGTCCACTGTCCTTATCCTCACACTCTTTATCATTTGAGCTCTAGATCTCCACATCAGAGATATGATGCATGTGTGTGCCTGAGCATATATGTATGTGCATGATGGTGCACATGCATGTACAAAATGCATGTGAACACCTGGTTTACTCTTCATAGGAAGCTCTTTATGGCAATGACTCTCTTCCTGTGATCATGACCTCTGCCTTACAGGGAGCCAGTGTACGGGTTCACACCGCTGATGGAAGCAGCAGCAGCTGGCCATGAGATCATCGTGCAGTATTTCCTAAACCATGTGAGTGACATGAGGGTGTGCTTATATAGGCGCCACAAGGAAGGCCTCGGCCAGCAGAGCAGAGCTTGGACCATCCTCCTTGCACAGATAGGACTGCTGTTGCTCCGTCTACAGCATGGACACTATGTGGAAAATGGACATTTTCCCAGCTGTCCTGGAGAACTCAGCATGAGCAGTACTGTGGGGCTAAAAATGAGCAGCTACCCTATAATGTGGGAAATACTTCTATTCCACAAGTACAGGAAAGATTTTTAAAAGTCAGTATTATTCTGGAGAAAGATATAACTTGGTAAAGTACAGGGTCTGCAGAGAAGAGGAAGACCCTAAGTGAGATAGATCAGCAGACACAGTAGCACCTGACGCTGGCTTAGGACTGAGCAGGGCTCTCTTCTGTTGTATGTGGGCTCTCTTTGAGTCAGGGCTGACTGCGTGACAGTCATTAAGAGTGGACAGGTGTAGAATAACTTCTCAGAACAAATTTCTTTTAAAAAAAGCATTAGAGTTAAGTAGTATGAGTAGAGTAGTAGTATGATATGATACTACATAGTATGAGTAGAGTAGTAGTATGATACTATAAATGTAATAGTGCTGTGTAATTTAAAAAATAAAGACTAAGCAGAAAAACCCAACTATATATAGTGGGATACCCACTAGTCTCATGCAGGGTCTCCCCAGGACTATTCCTCCACTTGTACAGGTGTATGTATCTTTATAAATACAATCAATTTTGGTTTTGAACAGAAATGGAATTCTGTATATTTGAATTGTGCTGTTGGCAAAGAATATTGAATAGACTAAGAACTTCCAAAAGAACAAATACATCTCTATTGGGAGAAGTGCAGCTCGATGCTTCTTGGAAGCAAACATGGTGAGAGTGTGTCTCACATATTTTGGGCATGTAACCAGAAAGATTACTTGGAAAAAGACACTTTGCTTACCAAGTGGAGGTCAGTAAAAAAGAGAAAAGACCCTTACAAGACGGACTAGCCCAGTGGCTACCACAATGGACTTAAGCAAGCAGAGCTTGTAGGGGTGGTACAGGACGGAGCATAGTTTTGCCCTGCTGTGTTTGGGGTTCTGTGCACCAGCACTGACTCCATGACACCTGACAACAACTATGTATGCGTTCTACAACTTAAAAAAAAATCATTGAATATACAGTCAGCATCAAATTAGCACTTGTCCTAGGCTAGGTTCTCTACAGAAACAAAAATGACAGTTTTTAGGTGGATAGGTGGGCTGTGTATATAGAAAGAGATCCCAAAGCAAAGGCTGGCAGGTTCCAAGGCCCAGGATCAGATGTCAGAGTGGAGACCCTGACCCACATAGCTGCAGGTGCTGATAAACTCAAGACTGGCAGGTCAGATGGTAAACTGCTGACTTCAAGCCTGATAGATCCAGGATTGGCAGGTCACTAGCTCACATCCAAAGAAGCAGAGGTCAGGTGGTAACCATCCAGATGGAGATCCAAGCAGGGCAAAACCCATGAGGGCTTTACCAGACAGCCATCTATATTCTATACTGATCATAATAACTGCTTATAGCTAATCTCATCACAGAGATGATTGTACTGTATGAGGGCTCCTCAAGGAAATGATTCTATTACACCATATCCTATCAAGTGAGTGATTACATCACAACTCATCAAAGGAATAACTTTGTCATAACTGAAAAACCAGAGAATCCACCAGCCTTTACCAGTGGTCACTTGGATTTCTTTGAAATTAATTCAGTGCATGAATGCTAGGCATGCTGTGACATGTTGCATATAGACAGACACCCACACCACAAAAAGCCGAATCCACAAGGGAAGACTGGAGGTTGTGGTTCTCACCCTCAGCCACTTCTCAGAGGTAAAGTGTGGCAACTTGCTTCTGTAAACATTCATGGCCTTAGCAGCTGCAAGGGGAAGTTGTACTCTCCTTACAGGATAGCTGAGTCAGTCCATTAGACGATAGAGGGTTTGATTCTTGTTCAGTGGCATCTAGTTGTCTCCAGCACATAGAGACCATATGAACAATAATAGATCTGAACTGTGTCTTATCCTGAACCACCCTCACAATCTTTGTTATGCTCCAGCCCACTGTTAAAGTCACTGTAATGTTGAGGATCTTTCTCTATCCCTCTACCTATCATGATACCATGTCTTTCTCCAAGGACTGGCCCCTCTTGTCACCGTGCACAAAATATGTGAGGCAATGTTTCACCATCCTTGCCTCTAAGGAGTATTCTGACTCCAGGACAGACTTGTTTTTTTCTTTTGGCAGTCCATAAGATACTCAGAGCTCTTCACTACCACCAGTACTTAAAGGCATTGATAACTTCTGTCATTCTCACTCATTGTCCAACTTTTAGATGCATCAGAAGTAATTGAAAAGATCATGGCTTGAATAAAGCCTTATTTTTTGCCAATGCCTTCAGTGCAGCTTGAACTTCTTCCTTTCATCCCATGGGTTCTTGATCACATACTATTTCCTAATATGGTTCCATGTTAGCCAGTTCTTTTTGATGCAGTGACTCTGTGTATTTCTGCCATCTTCTTTTGATGCTGCTTTGGTCATTCAAGATTTTCTCCATAGGATTTCAACTTAAGATTTGTCAGTATTGTAACTCAAGACGACATATTTTAGTTCTTCTAGCTTGAGAAATGGCAAGCAAGTTCTTCTCTTTTTATTTTCTGATTCCAGTTCATTGCACATTTTAATATAATACTTTGTTCTCTCTTCCCCAGAACACTTAGTTGTACTCATGCAAAACCTAGATTAATAGGCTGTTGTGAAAATACAGCAAGGAAATACTGCAACCAGACTCTGCTCAGACCTCGTCTCTACCCTGCTCGGACAGTGTTAATCTTTAGCCAGGCCACAACATCCCACTCTGCCACCCAGCTCTCTGTTTGTAGTTGACAAGTGTTCTGTGGTGCCCCACTGAGCGCATGAGACCCTTCCTGCAGCCTAAAGGTGCTCAGCTCTCTCATCCCATGGCCAGCACTTCCCCTGTGGTGCTATACTCTGTAAGCCTGGGCACATGCCATCCTGGCTTGGTCCTGCCTCACCTCTCTCTCTGCCCTGTCTCATTATATCTTGCTGGTGCTCTACCTGAGTGCTCTCTGCCTCCTGGGTCTGGGAGGGTCTCGGACAAAGGACACGTTCCACTCTCGCCTGTCTTTTGATGGTACTAAGGCTTCCCATCCCTCTTTTTAAAACCTAATGGGATGGGAGTTCATGAATCTTCTTTTTTATATCCTTGTTGCTTTCCAGTCAAATCTGATGAATACCAATCCTCCATCAGGTTTCTAAGGCTGCAGCTGATGAATACAAACCAACAGCCTTTCAGTTACATCCTGACTTGTTAGACACTACTCCACCCAGGCTCCTTTAAGCTTTGGTTGTATAGTCAGTCCCAGTTGGTCATTATGTGGGAGTATAGCACCGTGGTTACTGCAGTCCTGGAGACTGTGCACAGTGAGACTCTCCCACTTCTTAATCTCTCTCAGGTTTGTCTCCACAGTAAGTTCCCACATGTTTCCTCTCGTTTTTCACTGTGGAAACTGTAGGAAAACATCAGCGCAGGCTAATGAGTAAGCACACATAAGCAGTGCTTAGCCTGTCAGTGATTCAGTCGGAAAGGAGGCTTTGCTTCTGTAGAAGCTGCCCTGGGATTGGGAGGAGGACAGATACTAGCCATCCCTAGACGCAGAATCTCTGATGTGGTAAAAACCTGTGAAAGTTCACTGTGAATTAAGTAAGCATAAATTAAAAAAAAAAAGTAAGCATAAATAAGTCCCTGTTTACCTTTGCTGACTTGGTAATCTGACTCTGGTGAATAGATAAAGGGGTGCAGGTGGGACCTTCTGTTTTCACCCTCACCTCCTCTTGGTGCTAGTCTACCACTGTGGACTTCAGCCAGACAAAACCTGTCTGGCCGTGCTTCAGAGTCTAGAGATTGTGGCTGGACCTTGCCCTGGTCACGGTCCTTTCTCATTTGGACTCCCAAGCCTTCAGACAAACGTGTACCCATCTCGCTTGACCCTGAAGTCTGGCATCCCCCACTCACTTTCTCTCCTCTCTTAGAAATGAGGGTACTTCCAGGAGTCAGCACCTAACACTCCTTTCATGACTTTCCCAGGGAGTCCAGGTGGACACCCAAGACCACAATGGTGCCACAGCCCGGATGCTGGCCAAGCAGTATGGACACATGAAGATCGTGGGGCTGATCGACACCCATGCCCCAGCCCTGCCTGCCAGCCTCTATCGGAGCCCAGGTACCTACCTGTCTGCAGCCTTGTGGATGGGCACCTGACAGAAAGAAGCCCCATCCAACCCTCTGCTGGCTCTCACCTGTTCCTCTGTGTTTAGACTGTCTTTCACTGAGTACCTCGGTGAGGACCCACAGAGTACGCCAGAGAGGACCTGCTGAGGACCACAGTAAGGACCCACTGAGTGCCCTGCTGAGGACCCCAGTGAGGACCTACTGGCCTATGCAGGCATCAGCACCACCTTCTGAGCTTCCTTGCCTTTTGAGACACTGAGGTGTTTGATGACATGTTCAGAGTCAAAGGTCTTTTTAGGTCTTTTATCACCTCTGGATTTGGAGTTATAATAACCTTGCCCTGCACCCTGAATATGTTATGAATCCAGTGTTTTCTCCTAATCCTTGTTGGCTTCACTTTTCACAATCTGGTCTTTCATCGGTTGAGACTCTTCTTGTGTGTGAAGTGGATTCAGCTGTATCTTCAGATGACCACTTCTGCTGTGTTCTACTTCTACTGTATCTTCTTCTGTTTCATTTGACGTGATCTGCGCTGCCTTCTTTGTCTAGTCCTGAATTTCCACCAGTACTTGGGGCTGTGATGGACTTTGTCTGATCCTCTGGCTTTTGTCTTGCACCAGACCATCCCTTTTAAATTACAGGAATATTTCGTTTAGTTTGCTTCACTTTATTATACTCCGCAGATACAGGCCTTGGTTTTTATTTTTTTTAAATTGAAGGCTTATGACCATCCCAGGGGAGCTCTGGTGGCCTCCATTGTGGGAGGTTGTGTAGCAAACCAAAGGTCACACTTTCTTGGCAGCTCAGATCCCCCCACTGCTCCATAGAAGAAAGATGGACAGTTTCTTTGTGTGATTCACAGCCTCTGAAGACCCACTGGAGGGTCGACTAAGGGTCTGTTCCTACTCCACAGTAATGAATTTGTGTTTTCAGTATCTCGGGAAAGTCTGTCAGTGTCATTTTTCCAACAATATATGCTCACTTTGGGTCTCTGTGTCATTCTTTCAGTCTTCCAAACTTGGTCATAATGTTTTTTCATGCTTAATAAGCTATAGTCTCGTCCTCTCTCTGCACTGGGAAATAAAAAAAAGCATAAGGCTTGCTTTATTTTGACACCGCATCACTGTGCTGGTATGGAGCAGAGCAGAGCCCTCGCTGTCGCTGAGCTCTGCCTCTGTAGAGGCATCAGCATTGCAGAGAGCTGCCTGCCCCTCATACCTTTGCTTTTTGTCTTCCAAGCTGCTTTTCATTTTCCCGTGTGCACTTGAGTTCTTTTCTTTGTTGTTGTGCTGTCAAGTCACTTGCTACTCATAGCAACCCAATACACAATAACCCTGAAACCTGAACTGTGCCAACTTTACTCTCTGACACACCTACCCTCATTACTCCAGTCACTGTATCAATCCATCTCATTGATGGTCTTCCTCTTTCTCTGTCTGTCCAGCCCTCCAAGCATGATGTCCCTCTCCAAGGACTGGTCCCTCCTTGCAACATGCCCAAAGTATGTCAGACGAAGCCTCAGAATCCTTGCCTCCAAGGAACAGCCTGGTTTCACGCTCTCTACAACAAACTTGTGTGTTCTTCTGGCACTTCATGGTATATTCAATGCTCTTCTCCAGCACCAAAGCTCAAAGGCATCAATTCTCTTTCCATCATCCCTAGTCATTGTCCAGCTCTCTGACACATAGCAAGCAATTGTGAAGACTATGGCCTGCATCAGGCGCACCTTAGTCTCCAGACTGACATCATTGCTCTTTAGTACTCTGGAGAGATCCCTGACAGCCAACTTTCCCCGTGTAATTTGTCTCATGATTTCTTGACTACTGGTATCAAGCATGTTGACTGTGGAGCCAAGCAAATGAAAGCTGTTAACAATCTCAATCTCTTCACCATCTATCATAATACTGACAACTGGCCCAGTGGTTAGAATCTTTGTTTTCTTGAGGCTGAGCTTCAATCTATATTGAAGGCTGCAGTCCTTGACCTTCTGCAGCAAGCACTTCAGATCCTTCTCAGTTTTAGTAAGCAGGGTTATGTTATCTGCAAAACTCAGATTATCCAATCCTTATTCCACATTCCTCCTCATACAGCTCAGCCTCCAGGATGATCTGTTCTGCATATAGATTAAAAAGGTATGGAGACAGGATACTAGCTCCATAAAAATCAAAGTGTCGATGGTAAATTTATAAATTAAACACATCAAAAAAAGAAAAAAAAATAAATTAAATACATCTGTTGTTGAGTTGTCCTGTCCAAGAACAAGGGATGTGTTGTAGTTCAGGGCTCCTTTTAGGTAGTCAGGAGTGTTTTTACTTGTTCCCAGAGCTCTTCCACATCACTTACATTCATTCTAAGTACTTTGTCTTGTATGTCATTGCTCTAATTAGGTTTTTTCTACTGTTTCATCCTTGGCCTGTTTTCTCTGTATGTAATAGCTGTTGATTTTTTTGTTGTTGATTTCTTTTAAATCATTTAAATCTAACTAATCCTAGAACTAACTCCTCGCCTAACCCTAACACAAACCCAACTCCTAGCTTTAATCCTGCCCCGAAATTTAACTTGATAGAATAGACAGAATGAGGACAACCAAGTCTGACTTATACCTATTCCACAAAGGCAAACTGTCTCCATCAACAACTTCCATGGCTCAAAACTAATTCCTGTAATCTCAGACATGGTCCTTCATGCTTCTGCACCTACTTGTACTAATTCCAACACCAATCTTACTGCTCTGCTGGGTCTGAAATTTGTTGCAGTGCCAAAAGACTTTATAAAATCATACTCATGGTCGTGGGGTTTATTAGGGAGGTTAACAGACTATAAGGGAGCACTGGTGACCTTGTGGCAAGAAACTGCACTGCATCCCAAAGGCATACAGTTCGAATCCACCAGCTGCTCCATGGGAGAAAGATAGGCAGTCTCCTCACATGTGATTAACTGCCTCTGAAAACCTGCTGGAGGTTCCGACTCAAAGATACATAACAACAACAGACTTCCTTAGTCCAGACAGCTTCTCAAGCATGAGTACAGGCCCTCTGACCTTCAGCCTCACGGCTTAGGTCAGAGTCACAAAGTCCCCTTAGTCCTGAACATTATAGCGTCTTCCCTCAAACCTCCTGCAGACTTGGGTGAAGGCCTCGGTTTGTGGGGCAGCAGTCCCAAGTCACCTTAGTCTCATGTCAGTTTATGCTTCTCGCTGAGTCTGCTGTTGAGGCTGCACAGTAGTCTCTGACCCCCAAAGGACAAACACTGCTTCCTCTTCCTTATTGGTGTTGAGATTCCCAATTTCTGCCACTAAATCAACTCAATTTAATGGCAAGACTAGGCAGTCCCCTTGTGGATAGATTAACACATATTATTTGTATGATCTCACCCATCCATGTGGCCAAAGGAAATGACTATGAAAACCATTTTCAGCAATAAACCCTTGGCACTACCCTAACTTTGATCCTAGAACTAAGCCTAAATTTAAACCTACTCTAATGCTCCTGGCCCAATCTTAACCCCAAACTTAACCTACCTAGCCCATAATCTAGGGACCTCTGAAGGCCTAATGGATAAGACTTACTCTACCAAACCAGAGGCAGACAGTTTGAATCCAACAGCTGCTATGTGAGAGCAAGATGAGCAATCTCTTCCCATGCTATTTACAGACTTGAACCCGTGGAGGGCCAGTTCTAACTTGATGAGTTTGAGCTTTGAACCCTGAAACTAACTCATATCCTAATCCTAATTCTGACCCCACCCTTATTTTTTACCCTAAACCTAGCGTTGATCATAGCCATAACTATATCCCTAAACCTAGTCAAGTCTAGTACTGACTTGACTTCTTTTTTCTCTTCATTTTGAAGCCACATTAAGTCAAATACTGGCTTTATTCTTTTTTTTTTAATTCCTTATTAGAGCCAAGTCGTATATAGATTGTGTTCTTATTTGATTAACCTAGGAAAGCTTTGATTTTTTTACACTGGTTTGATATCCTGCTACTTTACAGAATTCTTTCATTGTTTGAGTTAGATTTATTATTGATTTGGTTTTTTCAGGTATATTGCTACACAAAAAGCTTGTTTTACAAGGATGAGTACAAGAGAGTATCCTATAAAGCAGAAGGGGGATTACCAACTTCTCCAGACTGCTGTACAACTCCATTATTCCTAACCTCAGTTATTCTTTTCCCTCTCAGCCCTCCCACTGTGTGTCTGTCTTCGGGTCCTATAAGTGACCAGAAGGTCTCATAGAAAAGCAAAACTGTCAGAGAAAGGGCATCCAAGGTTGTCATTGGTGTAGGCTGATGCTTGTAGTCATGGGCTGGTGCAACATGGGCTAGGCTCCTACAGGCTGAAGTCATTGTTTGTTGGTTGTCAGAACAGCTGGGTCAGGATAGATGCACTGTCCTGAGCAAAACAAAAGAGGAGTCTTCTCTGTAGCATTTGGGGCTGTAAGCCACACCCCCAGAAGAACAAAGTGTGGCTACTTGGCCATACCTTTTATTAGGGTGGGGCTTTAAGATGTATCCCTACTCCCACCTCCTTAATAAAGTAAATAACTCATTTTGGAAATTTTTGGCTTTAAAAAAAAACCTTGTTATTGTATTATGTGTAAAGATTTACAAAGTAATTGACTTAAAAAAAAAAAAAGCACAAAGTAATTGACTTTCCATCCATTCATTCATACAGGTTTGTTTCATGGTATTAATTGCAGATTACTGACCTTGAGTTGTGACTGAACTCTTCGTATTTTCTTCCTGTCGTATCCCTTCCTGCCTTCTAAATTTTCTTCCTGGGGAAGTGCTGCACTTTTGATCCTAGTTCTAGTGAGTATCTTCCTAATGCTTATGTTCCTGTAACGTCTGCTGTTTGGTTGAAAGTTAAGAAATAGGTGAGTTTAATTCTAGGCCCAAAGAGTTTATAAAAAAAGTCATGGTTTCATGAGTTCCACCAGATTCTATTAGCAGCAAGCCTGGTCATTTTTGTGATTTTAAGTTTTGCCCCATGTTTTTCTCTCAGTCAGTCCATGATCCTCAAGTGTGATCCCTCTGAGTACATTCAACAGGGCGCACCATCGAGTTCTTCTGATCTCAAAGTAGAGGAAGTTGAAGTCCATATGGTTCATGAATCATTTTCTAAGGAGCTAGGGATTGGCTCCAGGCAAGCAGCAGGCTGTCAGGGACACCATGCATCTGGTCTGGGCCTCCCACAGCGAAACATAGGGAGAGAGGGAAATGCAGGTTTATGCTGATAAGGAGGAGCCTGTGTGCTGATCTCAGCAGTCCTGCCATGGCTGGAAAGGCCTGTGACTTAATTCACTGTACTACAGTTGCCATATAAACAACATAAAGCAAACTCACTGCCATAAATTCTGATAATGACCACCTTCCATGTTTGGGAGGAGACTGCAAATACTACTTGTAACCTGCAAAAGGGAGCTCTGGTGGCCTAGGGGTAAGGAACTGCATTGCTGACTCAAAAGCATGCAGTTCAAATCCATTGGCTGTTCCACAGAAGAAAGATGGGCAGTTTCCTCTGTGTGATTTCCTGCCTCTGACCTAGCTATGAGTTGGTCCCATCTCAACGATACATCACAACAGCATAGCCTACAAAATGTGTTTTAGTCCTTCATTCAGATTCTTACACTTTTAACAGGTTCTCTCAGTTAATTGCATCAGCTAAACTCCTTGTTCATCTTTGACTAGATAGACAGGTACCCTTGTCTCATCACTGCTCTCTGTAGAAATGCCACATTAAGTCAGCTGTTGGCTTTTATTTTTAATAGTATCATGTTAGAGAGGGAAGCACTGGTGCCGTAGTGACAAGAAGCTGTGCTGCAATCCCAAAGGCATATGGTTCAAATCCACCAGCTGCACAGAAGGAGGGGGATCTCCTCTGTGCAATGAACTGCCTCTGAAAACCCGCCAGAGGGTCAGCAATGGGTCAGTTCTGACTCAACAACATATAACAGTAACAATCATGTTAAAGAAGCCATTGATTCCTTTGTTAGAGTGTTTTTAACAATAAATGGTGGTGTGTTCACTTGTCCTAATACTAAACCAAACTTATATTCCTGGCCTCTTGGTGAATATTCTCTTTCATGGTATTGGGTTCTGCCTGCGTCAGACCTTATTAGTTTTTTATATGGATGCTCGTTCCTGAGTGATACTAGTGTATATTTTTGTTTCTTATTCAGCTTCTATCAGTTTAAAGCATTAGTAAGATGCATCATAAAAATAACTTGGTTATCTTCCCTTCCTGTGCTCTAGAAGGAGTAGCTCTGGGAGGCTAGTGGGGAGGGAGCTGCCCTGGCAACTCAAAGGCAAAAGGTTCAAATGTCCCCCGGGAGAAAGATGGGCCTTCTCCTGTGTGATTTACAACCTCTGAAAACCCACTGGAGGGTCAGCTGAGTTAGTTCTGATTCAATGAATGGCACTGAACAACAATTGCTCCCAAACAATTTCTGTAGCAGTGGTATCTTCCTGTTTTTTGACGGTTTGCTAGAATTTTCTTATGAAACAATATGAGCCTGGTCTTTTTTTAATTTTTAAATGGGGTAATGGTTTCTATCTCTTCTGTGGAAATTAGTCTATTTAAGGTTTCGTTTATTACTGTGATTTTATTTTGGGGGTGAGGACGCATCTTTCTGTGTTTTATGTAAATGCTTTCTGGTCTGAATTTTGCTTTGATAACAAGATTGCAAGCCCCTGCACTTTCATGTTCCACTTGGTCTCATGGCTGGTCAAGTGTTGGGCGGCTAACTGAAAGGTTAGTCGTTCAAGTCTACGAGCTGCTGCATAGTAGAAAGATGGGCAGTCTCCTCTAAAGAAGATTTACAGCCTTGGAAACTCCAGAGGGTTACCAGAGGTCAGAACTGATCAACCACAATGGGTTTTTTTTTAGTTTTATTATTTTGTGTGTGTGTACCGTCAAATCAGATCTGACTGGTACAGCAAAGCATCTGGTGGAAACAATGGGTTTTTCATCTTAGATGTAGCACTGGCTGAAGCTTGTTGTTTTTTTTGGGGGGGGGTTTTCTTTGTGTTTTTTTTAGAATAAACACCTTTATTAATACATGTG